CTAGCCAAAGACTAGAAAATGCACTCAAAAGTTTTGTCACAATAAGACATCTGGCAGAAAAGGTTCTCTTAGTGATTTCACTGAAGGCAAGTAATAGCATAAGCTTAGACATCAAAGAAACACAGGAGAGAGATGCTCAAAAAACAAGAACAAAAAATAATATATAAATTATTACTGCACCTCTCCTTTCACATGACTGCTTCTTGTTTTACAAATAAAGCAGAATCTGAATATAGATGAAGATATCAGTAAGCACAATTTTATGGCTGCAGTAGCCAGAGTGTCAGACCAGAATGATGCTGAAACGATCACTTCTGCCCTTAATTTTCCAAACTATATAATTTTGAGCAGGTGATTCAAAGCATAGCAGATTGTTGTGTGCATGCAGATGCCATTAAAAACACACTGAAGAAATTACAAGCAATCCCCTCTCTTCTAGCATTATTATGCAAATAATAAAAACACTTGCCAGTCCACTGGGTAAATGTCATATGTATAAACACTTTAAAGGATATGGGAAGTCCCCGTCACCATAATGCTTAAAACCTTAAAAACTTGATTGCAGCTCTTGCTCTTTAGGAAACTACAAATGTCGTGAAGAAGACTGAGCTGTTCTGTGCTGTCTGTCACCTGGAGACCTATGTGGCCAGAATCTGTACTCTAAGAACCCACTGCTGTGCCTGTGTCCTCATCCAGCAGTGTGGCTGCTGCTCCTTTCACAGAGATCTTCATGTGGGGATCTGCAGGGGTAATCAACCACTGAAACAGCCCCCAAGTTTATATGCCCATACCATGCTTAGTTCTGTAATTTTAAGTGAAGAATATAATCAGCACGGGGTGTGTGAGGGTTGGGAATGCAATAGGAACCTGAAAGATTTAACTTTTCCTTTAGTATGTGTCTATAATGTCAGTATTTCAGTCTCAGAGGATTTGCCTGTCTGACTATAGTTAAAATCGTGATGTTCTCTCACACAGATCATCAGAGTTTAGCTTTTTCAGGTTTCTCTCCTGATCTAAGAATTCATGACGTGTCACTTTACAAGGAAGGGGGAAAAGCAGAGGTTTGAAGCAGACTTCAGTCCCTTCAGATCAAAGCCCATGTCTTCTGACGTGCATCTACAGCGCCTAACGGTGCCTAGTCCAGACTGAGACTTGTGGTTATTATTGTAACAACAAAAGCAACTGTGGTGGGGTATGGCACAGAACTGATATGTTTGCTATTTTTGTATGTTTTATTTAGTGCATTTTCTATGAAAACCAATTTGGTTCCTGTTTATGTATCAAACTCCCCACAGAATGTTTGCCCCTTGTCATGGCTATCATTATTCCTGGTGCAGAGGACTGTAGTGCTCTCCCTTTGGAATTAATAGCACTGGCAGCCTGCCGTTCCAGGGCTGTCTAGTTTTAGCATCCCAGGAACAAAAGCAGGAGACCAAAGCTAGGTCTCCTGTCCAGGAGTCCTTCTAGCAAGCCATGAGGAAGAGCAGCAAGGCCTCATTCAGTGCTGCTCTTCAGCAACATTACCAGTTCAGCTGACATCAGTTTTGTAAGAAATTCACCAGAGAAGTACAAACGAACCATACATCTAGTCTCAAGATGAATTTCTAAAAAGCAAATGCACAATGTTTCAGCATGATTATATTTATTACTTTTTCCAGAGAGCCTGCTATTGTTTTGTTATGGAGAAATACATGTTCAAACATTGGATTAGTTCAGTTTTAGAAGCACCACTATATTTATTATATTTGGTGCTGTGAAAAGCACTTCTAACTTCTATTTTTACTGAGTTAGATTTTTCTCTGAGAACAAAACTGAGTTGTTTGTTTAAAAGCTATTAATGCCTAGACTGAGACACCAGCTTTGTAATTCTAATAAGATGCCATATAATTTTTTCCTCTGAGTATGTCTGAGCACAGCCCACCTTTCACAAAGGCAGGAACAAATTCACTGTTGGCCCACAGAGGTGCTGTCATTACTTTAAATCATGGAACTGAGCTTGTTCTACTGGGGGTTAACTGAGTAATTCCACTTCATCTTACCATGCTAGTCTTTCTTCTTGTACCTGACTGGATAATTTTATCCAAAGTTTCATAATTCAAACATTTAGAAATAACTTTTTTAAGTGACACTGAATTAATTGTTACCTATACATGTGTTAAAAATGGATTGGAACAGGACTGCCTGCTCTTCTGGCGTGGTATCAATACACTGTCTGGAAATCATCCATTCTTTGCCACTAACTCCCACATTCAATATTTTCGGGTAATGTAATACTAAGGCTCAGTTGATGCACCTTATCCTGAAGCACTTAATAAACTAGAGTTAACAGATGTGAAATCTGAGGAAGCGCTCAGGGAAATCTAGGGACTTCCCTGAAAATTAGGGTTTATAGACTATAATCCCACTGATGATAGCTGAGTGATAAAACCCACATTGTTTGTATTTATAACAATTCTTGAGTGATTTCATTGTTCCCAAAGAAAAAAAAAAAGCTGCTTTTGTGCATTGTTGATACAAAGTCACTCTTGTTGTTGCAGACCAGGCACTTCCTACTTTACCTGGGTATTTTTATCCACAGTACTTCGCTGTGTTTGAGAGATAAGCCCTTACTCCAGACTCTGAATCACACTTCCCCTTCAGATTTGGGGAATGTCAGATCCAGATCGGGATCCAAACTTTCTAGTTTGGGCCTGTCTTTCATCATGGTAAATCAACAGTCGGCAAATCTAAACAATATGTTCATGTTGAAATCTGGAGGGGTTTTTTTAATTGTACTTCCTTTCTAGCAAACAACGGACGTTTATTTTCTTCTCTTCAGGACAGAAAATTGTTTACTCTATGATCTTATTTTTTTAAACTGCTGCTTCATTTGCAGGGGGAAGTCCAAATGACCTTGCACACCATGCGGCCTGGGAGCTTATCAATCAGGAGAGGGCTTGTCAGGAAGGTGAGAAAGCTCTCCTGAAACCAGATCTATTACCAGAGATCCCCCTGCCAGGACAGAAGTGTCTCACAGCCAGTGAACTCCTATACTTACATGCACTCTTTACTTCTAGATGTAACTACAGTCTGAAGGCTCAAAATTAGTTAATAAATTATTTTTTTCCTTGTTCTTGTTAAATAAAATACATGTTGTCTGAGCTGCCTGCAAGTTTTGCACACTGATGATGAATTTGATTTTAAATATATCTTTCAGGACTACCTACATTTTAATACCACTAAGTATTTTGAAGGTAATGCATGGTAGGTCAAAATGTGGTCACAAACCCAGATTTTTCCTTCCCTTATCTTTATATCTTAGTTCTCACGGCCATTCCATTCTGCCCTGGGTAACTGGGCCAGTACCATGGGGCCTGCTTACTCTGCTAAAGTGCCTGAATAGTACATTTTTAAAGCTGTGCTGAAATACACTCCAGTAAACCTAACGGTGACACACAGAAAACCCCACACTGGTGTAGCTGCTTTGCCAGCAGGAACTTCTCTGTACATTGGTGGGAAAGAAGGCATTACTCTCTCTTTCATCACCCTCCATGAAGAAGAGTGAAGCATTTTCTCCTCTGCCTCATCATTGGCTCTTCTAGCACACTGGTGTACCCAAAATCCAGGAATCCATTTGACACTCAGGAGCCCTGATGACAGATATGATCAGTCAGACCTAGCTGATCAAAGCAGAAGAAAATGAATTTCAGTAAACATTTGCAATCATCAAAATGATGTGGTAAAAAAGCCTTTTATTATATCCAATAGGTTTGTAAAGGCAGAGCTGTATTCCCCAGCTTTACTGCTGTAAATGTGTTTTATGCACTTTTATGTTGCCAACAGCGCAGAGCTGTGGGAAGATGTACTGTTTCCTAAATTCCAGCCAGCTTCCAATTGCAGAAATGTGATCATCAGTGATCGTATGTTTCTGAAGAAATCCACTCAGTTCTTACAACCCAGTTAACGTTTATGGCACTGTCAATTTGAGAATAAGCAAAATCCCTTAATGACTGAAGAAGACAAATTTTGATAGTAGAAGGGTGGAGGAACAGTAATCTGTCATAGGTGTTTCCACAACTTTGTTTTGTAGAGCAGAATGGCTCTCAAAAACCTTACCAAAAATCCTGCCATGCTGTAAGCAATAGTTGAAGCAATTTGTGATGTTTTGAGCCATTCCTGCTGTGAGAGCAGGATGGCCTCAAGTGCAACATCTAGAATCACTACCCTGGGCCCTCCACCAGCAGTTCCTTGATGCAGCCTGTCCAATGTGGAAAAGGATATTGGAGCATCCTCCAAGGTACAGTGGTATCTTATTATTTAATCATCTGGTATTTTCATGTGGAGTGTAAGGGAAAGAAAGCTCTGAGGGCAGAGAAGCAGGACTGGCACTCCATGCTTTTGGGAGAGCCTGCTAGAAGTACCCCAAGAGGTTTAAAGGAGCTTGGCACTTCCTAGAGTCTGAAATGCTGGGGCTGCCTGGGCCTCTCACCTACATAGGATTGTCTCCCTCTTTTTTGGGGTTGCCCTTTGTCTGAGGAAGGGCAACTAATCTGGTGAAGGGTCTGGAGAACAAGTCTTACAAGGAACAGCTGAAGGAGCTGAGGGTATTTAGCCTGGAAAGAAGGAGGCTCAAGGGGGACCTTATCGTTCTTTAGAACTCCCTGAAAGGAGGGTGTAGCCAGGTGGAGCTCAGTCTCTCTTCCCAGGAAATCAGTAACAGGACCAGGGAACACAATCTTATGCTGCACCAGGAAAGGTTTAGGTTGGACATTAGCAAGAAATTCTTCACAGGAAGGGTGTTTTGACATTGGAGTGGGCTGCCCATTTCAGTGGCAGGTGGTGGAGTCACTGTGCCTGGAGCTGTTTAAGGAAAAACTGGATATGGCACTTAGTGCCGCGGTCTAGTTGATATGGTGGTGTTCGGTCATAGGCTGCTCTCGATGACCTGTCGTTTCCAACCTAATTGATTCTGTGATTCTGTGAAATTGTCCATGCTCCAGGCAGCCGGTTCATAGGCCGAGTCAAGAGGCCACATCCCTCCCGGGGCACAGCGTCCCCAGCGCTCGGGTCCAGGGCCGGGACGTTGTGCCAGGGGCAGGGGGAACACTGGGACGCCCGGGGCCAGGAAACGCCGCCCCCGGGGCCTGGGGCCGGGCCGGCGGGTGGGCGGAGGGGGCCGGGCCGGCGGGCGCTGCTCCGCCGCGCTGTGGGAGCTCGGAGGGTGGCGAGGCCACGAACCCCGTCCGGGGAGCGGCGCGGAGCGGGGCGGCCCCTCGGCACGGGCGGGAAGCGGCGGCGGGACCCAGCGGCTGCTCCGCGGAGGGTGTGAGCGAGCGCCGCGGAGACGCGTGCGGGACGAGCCCGGCCCGGGCGGCGGGAGCGCGGCCCGAGGGTGCGGGGGGAGGCGGCGGCGCAGCGAGGCGAGGGGCGGCCTCGCAGGGCGGAGCGGCGGGGAAGGCGAGCCGGCAGCCGGAGCGGGCGTGCGAACCCCACGGGCCGAGCGCCTGTGAGAGGGGGAGGAGGAGCCGCCCCGCCGCCCGGGGATGGTGAGGAGGAGGCGGCGGCTGCCGGGAGCCCAGTGAGGCCTTCACTCGGCGCCCGCCGCAGAGCCCGCCCGCCTCGCCGGCCGCCCCCTTCCCCCGCTCGCTCGCTGGCTCGCTCCCCCCTTCCCTCCCCTTCCCCTGATTCCTTCCCCGGCTCCCTTCCCCTGCCGCCGCCGCCGCCTCCTCCTCCCCGGGCTCCAGCCATGTAAGTGACCCGCTCCCCGGCTGGGAAGGGCTGGGGGAAGGAAGCGCCGGGGCCGGGGCCTGCTCGGCGCGGCCGCATTGTGCGGGGCCGGGAGGGAAAGGAAGGGACGGGAAAGGGGGCGGCCGCTCTTCTTTCGCCTTCCCCGGGCGTGGGCTTCGCCGCCGGCCTCCGGGCACGGCCGGGCGGGGTGGGGGGCGAAGAGGCCCGGGCTGCAGGCGGCCCCGGCCGGGCGGTCCGTCCTGCCGGCGGGCCCGGAGCGGACAGGAAGCTGTTGGCTCCCCGGGGATGCGGTGGGTGAGAGGGCGGCGGGGCGCGGGTCTCCCCTCGGGCCTGCCCCCGCCCCGGCCCCTGCGCGAGCATCCCCCGGGGAAACGGCGGTGTGGGCGGCTGGGGGGTGGTTTGTGATATTTCTGAAACAGCGGCAAGCAGAGTAGCCGAGGGCCCCCCATTTTCCCACCTCCCCCGCCCCCATTTTCTGCTCTTGTCTTCGGCGGCCGCGTTGTTCAGCCCAGCTCCGCTTTGCGGACCACTGAGTGTTTGCCGACGGGGGTGTGATTCTCTCCGTGGGCATTTGGCTTGTGTAGGTGGCTGTGCAGCGTTTATGGACTTGATTTTTTTTTTTTTTTTCTTAGCCGTGTTTTGCAGAGGTGTAGGGAGCTGCCTGCAGATGCACTCCCCCCACTCCCCCAGGTGAAATTCTGCAGTTGCCGAAATGTTCTTAGAGACTTGTAGGACTTGTGTCTGTTTCTTTGTAAAACGCATAATCAAGCATATAAACGTTCTGGTACTTTTAGTATATTTTACTGACAGGACGCTACTGATGCAGATACAGCTTGCATGTTATCGGTGGTGTGTGTTCCCCCCGCCCAGGCCACCCCTGTGGGAAATATTTAGCTGTTTTGCTTTGTTTTCCTACCACCTCTATCATGTAAGAAGCAAATCCATGATTTGCGCTTGTTTGTTTTATTTATACCACAGGAGGGATGTACGTTTCAAAATCCAGTTATAAAAGGGAGTTACTAACACTTAATGCTGAAGAATATTTGTTTGCAGGTAAATAAATTTGACATACTGCGTGACTAGTAATTACTTTCATGTGGTAGTTAGTTTCATGGTGACAGCCACAACATTTGTCTAAGCAGATTTAAAGACTGTGGAGCTACCTTTGTTTTTTTTTTTAAATAGTAGGGTTTGTGTTGTGTGGGGTGTTTATAGAACTGTTTTTGGTGTGCAGCAGTGGTAAATCAAATTTAAAAATTGATCGGGTGTCCACAAGTCACTTACAACTCCAGAATTCACTTACAGTCTTATAAAAATGTCCTGTAAGTGATTACATTAACAATTAAATAGTTTCACAATTGTCTTGATTTCTCTGGGGACAGAGCAAAACTTCTGTTACAAATACTTTAAAATGGAATTTGATTAAATATATCTCGGGTTGGTACCGAAGTTCCAAGCAGCAGAGTTCCTATATTATATGAGCATAAGCTGTAAAAGGACTCATTCTTGTTTGGAAACATAAAGAAGATTTTGTCTGGGCTGCAGAGTGGGTTATGAAGAAGTCACTTTGCTGCCATCGCTCAGTTTTGAAATCGGTAGCTTAGTTTGTCCTATCAAACTGTTGTTGTGTTTGCAGCATGGACAGTTGGATGTCGTAACTGTGGCCCCTCACCTGAACAGCACTAACCTCCTGTCTAGGTTAATAACCTAACCTTCTGCAAAGGCAGGAGAGCGCAAATATTTCAAATTACAGTTTTGTAAACCTAGATTAGGCCAACAGATTAAAAAAAATTAAATATAGATGTGACTGTAGAGATTTTTGTTTTCCAGTTACTATCTTCCCCATAACTTAGTATCTGAGAATCCTTTGTGAACCTTGTGATAGCTGCACTTGGTGCCCTGAAATTCCAGCTTAGATGTGGTGTCATTGGACACACAGCACATAGTAGCAAATACTGGTGACCACACCTAAGTCATGGCCCACAATGCCTTCTTGTAAGGAAAGCTAAAATGGTGGAACAACCTGGTCCTTCTAAGCTTCCTTGAAAGCTGTCTGCCCAGATTTGGTAACTGGGTCATGGTGTGAAGCTGCTGCAGGCTCAGAGGGCCTTGAGCACATTGGAATCGCTGCTGCTCCCACGAAACACCCAGGGCAGGGTTTGCGTAATGCAGGAGATGTACTCCACTGGTCAAAGCCTGGTGGGAACATCTATCTGTACGCTCCACTTGAAACGTTGGCTGGAGCCCAACTTTGTTGTGTCTGTGCTGTTAGGTGCAGTTGGCTGTCAGCTGGGAGCTTGCACTGGGAAGAGATTGTAGGTTGCTCCTGGCATCCCATGTAACGGGCCCAAACACACCGCCCTGGCTCAGTCTAGTTCCCGTGTACCTCATCTGCTCTCATGACAGTGTCATGTGGCCACAGTAGGCAAACCTGGGCAGCTGGATCCTGTTTTGCCTGGTCCTGCTGCTGTGCATTATGAGAACATGTAAGGATGTGCAGCATGTTTGGGCTTAGGGTGTCCTGGGAGAATCAGCAATGTGCCACACCAGGGCAGTGGGCATCGGTAACTGCTGGTGTAACAGGGCAAAGTGTTAGCCCAGGGGAATGCTTTTTTGTAATCTGCTTTCTTATCTGGGCTAATGAGTGCAGCCCAGACACATTCTCACATGCTAGGACTGAGGCTGGTGGGCCAGAGCCTCTCTTTAGTCCCTTGCTTCCTCTCCCTCATGAAGATGAGGTGATTACCATAGGTGCTCCTGCATCCCATAAGCTTAAGCTTAAGCTTCAGCATTAAGGAAGACTTTCTTTTCTTCTGGATGTGCTGTAGGATATGAGTGGAAACAGATATAAAACTTGGCATTGGAAAGGGGACAGGAAATACAGATTAATATTTCTACTTTCTTAGAGAAAGAAAGGTGAGGATAATATATAGAAGAGAACGAGAGGAGGAGGTCTAATGTGACTCCCAAAAACAAAAGATGGTTCTGCTCCACCTTCTCTTGGTTGGTTGGTTTGACTGACTCCTTAAAGCAGTTTTCACTGCTGCAATGCCTAGGGAAGTGAGTTATCCCATTATTTATAAAGAAGTTAATAACCTTTAAGGAATTAATATGTACTCAAAACTGTTGTCACCATGATACAATGCTGATGTCATACCGTTCATGATTTACAGCACTTCAGCTGCATGAGGACTATTTCAGTGTTAAAAAAAGTATTACAGAAATGAGTATTGAAAAACAAGCAAAGAGAAGACTAAGAGAAAGACCAAGTTGTTTAGCTTTTGACAATATTCAGTCCTGTGCAGACACAGACTGGAGCAGCCAGGTCATACTTACCTCAGATGCCCTCTCTTCACTGGGAACCATTCCTAGATGGCCATAAATGAGGACTGTAATCGTTACTTTTTTTTTTTTTTTTCCCTCTAAGGATTTTATGGAAAAGGAACTTTTTCTGTTTTACACATCTTCAGTAGTACATTGACCTACAGTTAACTTGCTCTTCTATTCCGAGAAATTACTCTTGCTTGCTGCCACTGTCTTCAATAATGTCTCTTACTAAAATAGATGTATTAGGCACAGCTTGAATGTGTGTTTTAAAATACACTAGATAGAACAGGTTTGCTGCTGTTGGAGCTATGTCTATGGGCATCTTATTAGACAGTGAGAAGGGATCCTCAGCTCTTCAAATTGCAAATTAAAAATAGCTTAAGTTTCTCCATGTGAAGTAAGTGCTCTGACATGGCTGACTGAAAGACTGAGGTGGGACCTGTGCTGCAGGTTGGTGTCAGGAAGTGTTTAATGTTTTTCCACTTCGTTGTGCCATGGCTTCTTTACAAAACCCTCCACCCCCTTCACCACCCCTCTCCCCTGAAAGGAGGTGGGCAGGTAAAGACACGTCCCTGAGAACACAGCTGCAATAGCAAGTGGGAAATGTTTCTTGGGTAGAAATGGTGGAGAAAAGGCAGTCCAAGCTGTTTGGACACCACAGAGAATAGAAAAAGTAGTCCCTCTGAACTTTCTATTTCTTTGTTGATCTGCTTTTTTTGGCTCTGTTGTCATTCAAATTTGGATTATTAAATGACAGTTTAGCTGATGACCAGCAGGAAGCTGCCAAGTGGTAATCCTGGCAAGTGTTAACACAGGAAAACCTGGAGTAAGTTAGCATCAGATTGGAGAATTCTAGTCCTTCATGGTTTTTTATGTTTTACTTTTAGTAATAGTATTGTCCTTTCTGCAGCCTAGTTTGTCTGGTAGCTTCCTTTTTTATGTATGGTTGTTGGAAAGAATATTGATTGCTCAGTGCCTCTAAATGGTTGAATTGAAGATGCAGGGGTAGGATTGCACAGTCCCTGCACCCTCTATGACACAAAGTTAGAAGCGTTAACTTTCACACCTGGGTGTTGCATTTCCATACTCAAGCTGTGATAATCTTGGGGGTTTTGTTCAACACTTTGCAAATTTCTCAAGCCTCTAAGTGAGGTCTGGTCTCCTCTTGACATCAGCAAGCAAGTCTAGCTTGCATGGCTATTGTGCATGGCCATTTTGAAATGAAGCGTGCTATGTTTGTCAGGTTCTATCCTAATTGCTCTGAAGCTCAAAGAGTTTGTTCCAAGGTATCTCTGGCAGCTGTGGATTACTGGTCTCTATTCTGCAGCATATGGTGTTCTCATATTTATTTATGAAATTAGGAATTCTTACATGTCACTTGTTCCAATGTAGTTTTTTGTGTGTCTTCCCTCCCTCAGGCAAACATCTGTTTCGTGGAGTTGATAATTCTAACTAGTGAGATCGGCAGATTTGTAATTTGGAAAAAAAACCCAAACTCACCTTGTTTCTGAAGAGAACTTCAACGTAAACTGTTAACTGGAAAAGCTGAGGAACAGTAGCAAGCAGTGTAGGTTCGTAGGCAGAGTGTCAGGGGAGTGACCTCCTTTCTCTGTCCATTTCTGCTGGCAGTGATGGAACTTGTTCAAATTTGAGCTTTGTGCTTTGAACCCCTGTTTCAGGTCACTCTGATGTGGTACAAAGCCCTCTGCCCCTGCTGCAGTTTCAGTTCTAGGTTGGATTAATTTTGACCACCTGTTTCCTTCCATCCAGTGTTGTGTCTTAGTGAGTTATGGGGAATTAGTTGCTTTTTAATCTAATTTCTGATGGATGGCTATCACCTGCATGCTCAGAGATAATTGATGCACATGTTCCAAATGCATGCAGAGATGGTATATATTTGTCAGGTGGGAATGGGATGTCTCTGTGGTGAGACTTCAGTAAAAGCCAGGTCTTTAGTGGCAGTTTACAAATGCTGCTGGGTTTTGTTTTATTAAACTTGTTGGTTACTGCTGGGAATTTTTCACCAATTAGATTTTTTGATCATTCAAGTAATACCAAATTGAATGGCAGCATGGACACTTCAGAGAGCACAGAAAAATTAAAGAAAAACAGGGAATATTTG